CGATGTACAAATGCGCTTTACACAATTGATGTGTGTATGGATTGGGATAACAGTTGTATGAGCCCCTAATAAAATGTTAAAAAAATAAAAAAATTCAACCCCTAATAGCAATACTTTCTTATGTACCCTTGTTTCGTGGGCACATTTGTGGGCACATACCCCATCTTTATTTCATGGGCATAGTGATTATGCACTGGCCTTCTGACCACCAGGTCAGCAGTTCAAAGGACCAGCCACTCTGCAGGGAAAGACCAGGCTTTCTACTCCCTGAAAGAGTTACAGTTTTGGAAACTCACAGGGGCAGTTTTACCCCATTCTACAGGGTAACTATGAGTCAGAATCACCCTGATGGGAGTGAGTTTTTGTTGTTGGTCGTGGTGGTTTTTAGTGGAACCAAAGGGGCTGAGTAGAACAGCCCCTTCGTGTGTCACAATTGACTCAGTAGTATTGAGTTTGGTTTCTTTGAAGTTGATAATAAAACATTCTGAAATTTGATCAAGGGACCTTATTGCTTGGAATATTTAATTATCATTAAAAGATTAAATTTTTCTTCAACTAAGGGAAGCAAAGAAATATATTCTTCCCTTTCATTGCCAGGCTGCAACGGTGTGGCATATATTGTGAGACTTTTTCTTCTTCTTTTTGAGAAAAAAGAAGTATTTCCTACTTTATACACTACCAGGAGGGACCGTAAGGCAGGATTATTAAACCTTTGTAGTTACACATACAACCAGCACCACTCCTGTTGTCTCTCCAACTCCCCTTGCCCCTCCCCCAGGCCAGGACGAAGCCAACATGCCATCCAGAATTTCTTCTAGATTGATTTCTTTAAAGTACAATATTTTTGTACACAAGCACATAGACATTTTTTAAAACCGGGAAAAGCAAACCAATTTCCCTCCATCATCCTCTTGTGTGTAAGAGCAGGTGTCATGGGGTTTCCAACCGATTTCAGAAATCGATCTCCCTGCCTTTCTTCAGTCACCTCGGGGCGGACTCTTCAAACCTAGGTGACATTCAGAATCGCTGAGATCACTAGTTAGCCATACCATGCAAAGTCCCAGAAGGATGGAAAAGCATTAATATCACCTGCCCCAGCCAATCAAAGGCAGCTATTACTCAACATCCCTTACAACACCCAACCTGGACCTCAATGAGAGTAGTAACTGTTTCCAAAATAATCCAGTTATCTTAGTATATCTGAAACAGTACTCTTTTCAGTAAAATGCCTACAAAAATGTTGATCTGAGGCCCGTGCAAGTCAAGAAGAAGGTTGAAATTCCTCTTGCTGTCCTGTGTCTTCCGAAAGTGATCTTGGCTTACATGGACCAGATTATCTTACTAATTTTACAGTTACATTTAATGTCTAAAATACTGCATAATACTAGACTACTTACTACAGTAGAAGTTTAAGTTATTTGCATTGTAGACTGTTTTTAGGATGTCATGACATTTCAGTTGCTAAGAGTGGGCATTACTGTCCCCATCTCACTTGACAGAGAACTTCAGAGATGTGGCTCGTGAATTTAAACTCCCTGAGTGCACAGTGGACCACGTGGGGCTGAGTGTGCAGCATCCCAACAACTTACACTCCCAAAGGTTCGGAGAGCAGTAACTCCTCTGACCTTTTTGTGGAAACGTTCTTTGGAAAGAGAGGGTTGTAACTGTGAACTCTGAGGAGGGGTGCAGAGGGAACCGTACTCACCCACGATCTCACCGGGCTCCTTGTTGTACAGCTTTTTGTTCCAGTACAGGAGTCGGAGGAAGGGACAGGAGACGAGGAGGACGAAGCAGATCCCCACAGACATGTGGGCCGTGAACTCAGCAAAGTCCAGTCCCTGCAAGAGCAAATAGGAATCAGACGGCAAAGCAGGAACCCAGAACCAACAGAGGAGAGGTCTGGTGGTGTCAGGGGTGGGGAGGATGCCTACATTCAGGCTGAGGAAAGGAATGGGCTCTTCGCTAGGATCTTGAAAAGGCTTCATCATATTTGTTTGGTTTTTACTTCATGTTAAGAAACTAATTCTTACATGATGAGGGCAATACATGGGAAAACCCCCCACCTGGACACCTGCTTGAATTGCTGAAAAGTTGTTTTCTACTTGGGCAGCCATCCAGGGCTACAAGGGGTCCTGGGAAGACCCCGATCCCTGGGTAGACCCTTTTGTCATATTTCCCATAGTTTCATGCCCATTTCAATCCAGCCTGCCTTTGGGATTAAGTTAGATTAGGTTAGGTTAATCTGTCAGGATGAATATCCATTTTCTCATGCCTTTTGTCCCTGCCCTGGTAAAGGTGACTGGTAGGATCTGACTCTTTCCTGCAGCATCCCAGCCCCTAGGTGCCACGGACAGGATCAGACATGGTGGCAAACACTGCATAGTCAGCTGGGGGTGGGGCACACGTGGGGAGAAGGAGCTCTGTGGTCTCAGAGGGGTTTGGGAGGACTCCACGCAGTATACTAGATGGGAGTCGGCAAGACACCTGCAAAGGCCTTGGCTACAAGAAGCTCTCTAAACTACCTGAACTGTTGTTTATGAAACTTTAGTGAATTCTGCACTCGGTTTCTAGAAAAAAAATATCACTTTAATAGTTATGATGATATAACACAACTATAATTCATACCCAATAAACATGTCAGGTTTTAGGGCTTTCCAATGATAACTTGGACATTTGCATCAAGTAATCAGGGTACATCAAATGATTATCCTTGAAAACCACATTAAGAAGTCGTAGTTGAGAGCTCATTTACAGGTAGATAACGTGAAAAGTGAAAGCGAGATGGGAACCGGAAGAATAGTTTCAATTGTGTAAGAATCATCACTTTTTGGGTAGTTTTTTGCAAAGGTGTTATCTTGGACTTTGTGTTTATATAAAGAACTCATACCTCAAATATCTGGTTTAAAAGGCTTCAAACTAGGGTCCCATAAAATGTTTAAAATTTTTCTTTCTTTCTTTGCTTTCTAAACTCAGAACACACCCCCCCAAAAAAAATGAAGTCTTAGGTTGAGCAAAATGGTTTGAAATATAATTGTTAATGTTTTCACACAGGGAGCCCATAAGGACATAACTATATAGTATTGCCTTATTATGTGTGGTGGAGCACATGAAAAAAACCAATGACAAGAATATTAAACGGGGGGGAAAGAGGACTAACGGGGTCCTGGGCGCACATTCCCAACAAAATATTGCAGCACTGAGCAAAAGTTTATAGCTTGTACCAGTGCGGCCATGGGCAGATTTATGAAGTAAGAAACAGTTTTCAGAAAATTCAAACTTACAACTTTAAGAAGGAAATAGGCCAATGCACTCTACTGCTGTTATTGTTAGTTGCTCTTGTGTCAGTTCCACGTCATGGTGACTTGTGTGCAGCATAGAACTGCATATAGTTTTCATAGCTGTGACCCGAGAGGAAGCCATGTGAAAACAGTCCACCTAGATCTGTGCCTTGGAGGCATAGACGTTATCCTTTACTCGGGTAGCTATCTGGAGTGCCAAGGGATCCTAGGCTTGACTCTGACCTCTAGGAGGGCCTTTCTGCTCCAACCCCCACCCTTCTGTATCCATTTTCAGTCTGCCTAGGGGTTTTAGGTTAGATTGATATGTCAGGATGAATTCATATTCTCTCCTTCCTCTTGTGCTTGCCCCTGTGAAGGTGACTGGCAGGTAGAATGTGTCTTTGAAGGTGCATCTGGGTGGGTTTGTCCCCCAAAATTTAGAAGACATCTACCCGGCCAACATCCTGGAAGAAAATCATATTTGAGCACGTTCCAAAGAAAAATGGTTCAACATAGTATGGAAATTATCCAACAATATATTTAATATCACATGCAAATAAATTTTTCTGAAGATAATTCAGAAACATCTGTAGCAGTTATTGATAGAGAACTGCAAGAAATTCAAGCCAGATTCAGAAGAGGATGTAACACAAGGGATATCATTGCTGATGACAGATACATTTTGACTGAAAGCAGAGCACACACAAAAGCCTTGTATGAACCATAACTATAGACAACACTGCAGATAATGAGAATTCTAAAACAATTATATTCATGCAGAACTGATACACAGACCAAAAGGCAGTTGTTTGAATAGAACAAGATACTGGATGGTTTTAAAATCAGGAGAAGGGATGTGTCAAGGATGTAGCTTTTCACCAGGTTTAGTCACTTTGTATGCTGAGAATATAATCTGAAGAAAAACACAGCATTGGGATTGAAGGAAGACTCACATGCAGATGACACACAATCTTGCATGCTGAAAGCAAAGAACACAGGAAGCACTTAATGCTGAAGATCAAAGACTGCAGACTTCAGTGTGGATTCTATCTCCATAACAGCAGTCTGCCTTTTCTTCCTATGCTGTAGTACTTCTTTCTATCTTATACTGAAGGCCGCGAGGTTGGGGAATTTTCCAGTCAGACTTAAGGGCACTGGGACAGAAATATGCAGGTAATAAAGATGTCACCAGATGGGCCTAATCACATTAAGAGAAATACTACTCCCCACTTCCTGCTAATCTCCCCATCACTAAGCTTCTCTCGCATGAAGATGTTTTTCAGCCAATAGACCCCAACCTGTTCCATTTAGATGCCAACAAGATTCAAGGGTATATGCAAGAGTCTTAACTCTGTCCTTTGTCCTTGAAATGCTAAGAATCATGTCAAGGAACAAAAATTCTACAGAATCACATCATTTGTGCCATTACAGATGCATTTTTGAAGTGGGGTATTCATCAACTACTTCCATTCCAAACTAAACTCTACCCCTTTTGGAAAAGTATAACCTTCTCCCAGTAAAATCCTAAATATGTGTAGCCTCCCTACCCCTCTTTGCTTAAATATCTGCCCAGGTTCTTTGTTCACTGAGACATATTTTTGAGAATAATTTCTCTGTCTCCATACTCTTATGAGTTATAAATTATGCTAAACTCCAATCTCACATGATTCCATGTCATTCTTCCCTAAACGGCAATTGGTCAACCTGTTGAATTTGGTCATGTGAGTTCCATATATTTATGAAGTTTCAGCTGTGAACACTTTGACCAGCAACACCATTTTCTAGGAATGATAATGCAGGCTGGCTCTATGGCTAGTCAAAACACAATTCAATCAACATTGATTTCTTAAATTCTTCTATGTGAAAAACTCAAAGGCATTTTTATAAAGTGGTTAACTGAAAATATTAGAGATTTTAGTAAAATATTCAAGGTCTAATTTGAGAATACAATTATATCTGGAAGCCTGGGTTGGAGAGGATCACAACTCCAGAAAAGGGAGTGGGGGTGGGGGGCAAGTAAGAAATGACAGTGCATTCATATTGGACCTTCTAGGCTCAAGTACTATCTACAGGATGCAAGGAGAGTTGTCCATGGGACACGTGGGTTTCTGGTAGAGAGACAGACTCCAGATTTTCCAGCACACAGCTAAAAGGAAGGTGAGACAGAGGATTAGCTCGTGTGTTTGTTACATTTGGACTGCTAACCCTCAGTCAGCAGATTGATGCCACCTGGGGGAAAGAGGAGCTTTTCTGGTCCCAGTAAAGAGTGACAGCTTTGAAAACCACAGGGGCGGTTCCCCCCTGTCCTATAGGATCTCTGTGTGTCTGCATTGACTCCGCGGCAGTGAGTTTTTTTGAGTTCTCTCATACTGCCTGACAGGGACAGAATAGGAGCGTTTGCCCTGACTGCTAAGGGAATTAAGAAAGAACCTTGTGAGACAAGTAAGGAACAAACACCTTAACCTTGAAGTCAGGCCCTGGTGAAAATTGTGACACACGACTCTACTCAAAAATAATTCTGAGACATGCTGGCCCAGAGCCACTGCTTAGATACATTTGAAGGAAAAGATGCATGAGACTTAAGGGTGGACTGAATAACTAATTAGAAAGTGGTTTGACCAGGTGTAGAGTGCCAGGCCCCTCCACTTTGAAAGTGCCATTTAAAAATTAGAAGTATTCCCATAGACACTGTCTCTTCTCAACTCAAGAGGGAGGACCCATTCATCCCAGAATAAAGTGTGTCTTATCGATGCGTAAGGTGTTCCTTCTCAACTCTAAAGAGGGGCCCGCTTCATTTCTTTTGAAGTGACTCTATACGTTAATAAAGCTGTGACTCAATTCTTGGCTGCTGTGCGCATGTGTGTGAGCACAGCTTATCTCTGGACCCTAACAAACCACACTGCAATGGAGCTTGCTAGTTCCCTTGAATGGCAGCCCAGGGGCTGACCTTCATACTATCTAATTTTAAGATTTTTTCCCCCAGATAATTCCTAAGCACTTTGAGGTTTTATTTTTATTTTTTAGACAACTACTTATTTTTTTTTTCCACAATGTGTAGGAGACCTTATACCTTTCTGTGACTCATCAGAATGGCCTCTTCAAATTAGTTTTTAATTTTTTAAAATCATTT